CCAAGGTTGCCTTTTAAACGATCCGTCTGACGTCAGGAGGCAAGGGGGGTTTCCTCCGCGTGCGTTTGAGTGATGCTGAGTGACAAAGATGACACCGATTAGGGGCGTGAATCCTACTGGAGGTGAAAGGGATTAATGAGCGATTTAACCTGCAATCGTTACTCAACCCTGAACACAAAAACTATATGCCATACTGTATTTTGTCTATGTGTGAGTTTACCTGGGACCAAGTCTACCCACAAGGATAGAAAAACCTGAAATAACTTTTAAAAACACAGTAATGCTACCTAACGAAAGTGTAAATCAATGTAAATGTATGTAAAAAGTTCTGTGGTCGGAGGAAATATAATTTGCACAGTTTTAAACAAAACATTGAAAAGCATGTGAGATTCAAATTGTATAATCCCTAACCCTTGTGATGACATTGGAAGCGCTCCATTTGAAAGCCTCATACATCAGCCAAAATAACAATGTTTTATTTTAAATCTACAGATATCAACAGGTTTATTAGAGGCCAGAGTTTCGAGCATCTCTGCAAAAACACTGATAGGCTTAGTAGGCGAAAAACAGTAGGCCTGTGACAATAAGTGCCAATTCATAAAAAAGTACACGGATTACCTATTCCCTCTACCAAGAGTCTTAAGTGTGCATAAGATTGACTCTTTACTATCCCATGAGGCCACGGGAGAAGATTTGTGACTAATGTCCGTCAAGCGACGCAACTGATGCTAATCACATGATACTCACAACATGGTACGGAATATTTACACCATAGGGTGACCAACTGTCCTGTTTTCCCAGGACATGACCTGTTTTCATATAACAATATAACAAATTTATATCCATATAGAGGAGGCATAACCTACTTTAAATGTATTGAAATTAATAAGGTATCTTTGAGTAAACTTCGAGTATCATTTGAGTCGGCCCATGTGTTTGCTGGGCCGAGTGTCCTGGTTTTTGGTAAACCAAATATGGTCATCCTACCATACACACACATTCATATTATATAACATGCTTTTAGCGCTTGCAAAATAAGTAGCCAACTTATTCAACATAGGGCTACCTAAACTCGAATGGGATTTCTAACGCAGCCATATGAATGTGTTCATGTGTGTTTCATTGAATCATTTATTCAACTGATTCAAAAACATTTAATCATGCAGGAAGGAAAGTCAATATTCATATTGTTAAACGGTTCTGCTGTTTTTTGTTTTTTTGTTGTTTTTTGTTGTTTTTTTGGGGGGAAAAAATCAGAAAACTACCAAGTATTTTTGTTTACTGAACTTTAAAAGTAATATCACACACTTTGCTGCTTTGTTGTATACCTGTAACTATGCTGCCATAACGCATTCTGTAAATTATCATTATTAATATGATCGAGTAAACCTGCCAGACCTTTAGGTTGAGTGCCTTTTTGTAATTATTTTTTTTTTTTATAGTCTATGCACTGACTAGGCAAGTTTATTTGGGCCCATTTCATACAAGGAGCTTTACATAAAAGGGATTTAAGAATAAATATAAAAGATGCATAGGAATTTAAAAAGTAAGAAATAAAAACTGATTTAAAATTGAAATGAAAACAGCTTCAAGTTGGTTTTATGGTAACCTTTTCGCCCCAAAATATGATTGAAGGTTTGGTTTACACTGACTCAGGCGTGTGCGCATTGACGTCAATATTTCCGAGAAGAGCCTCCTGTCGTACTTTCTCCCGGCCGGGCGCGTCGTGGATATGTTTGCCTCTTTCCTCCATGGGGGTTCTCAGTCGCCTGCGTACTTCTAATCAAGATCCAAGCTCCGATTAAGTGACGGTAATGGCCAGTAATGGTTAGAGGAGAAATCGCACTGATTCCGTTGAACCCGTGAGGATGGCGTAACGGCCGAACCCGCACTTAGGCTGCGAACCCGGTGACTTGGGACTCATCCGAAGCAGCATTATTTGCGTAGTTACTATTTTTCGCACACCAGCACGCTACGCATGCTGCTAAGTGCAAATTAATCTCAGACTAACACTTACCGACAGTATTTTTCACAGCCTGTATTTGTCAATGCTAATTGCAGTCTTGTGTGCTTGGAGCGCACGCAGAAGCCTTTGGCGATTCGAGAATACAAACATATTTAGACACATGGCTAGTGGCAATGATTTCTATTAGCATTAGTTTGGCAGAGGCCACCGAACTGCACGAGATCTTCTAAACTTTCATGAGAATAACTAATGAGATTTAGATTCACAACTTCATATGCATACTATTAGGCTATAAATCCTTGTCAGTAAACAAACAAAAACTCACGGACACACAAATGTCCTAAAATGTTTTGGATTGTGAAGACACTCAGCAGATGACAAAATATCAAACCAAGTGGCATTTATGTTAAAGAAATAATTTCACAAATACGTTAAAATACAATTAAAATAACACAGTCTCATCCCAAATCGTCATATAACTGACGTTTTGGGACGTATTTTGACCATACGTCAATATTCGCCTTTTTAGGGCCCCCTTAAACGTCGGTAGATGGCGATCCCGGGCCGTCATACAAGTGACGCTTTACCTTTAACGTCAGTTAGGTGACGGGTTAGGTTTAGGGTTAAGTTTAGGTATGGGGTAGAGTTAGGATCCCATAACCTCATCTACCGACGTTTAAGGGGGCCCTAAAAAGGCGAATATTGACGTATGGTCAAAAGACGTCCCAAAACGTCAGTTATATGACGATTTGGGACGAGACCGGGTTGATTAAAACAATAAACTGTTCAAGAGTGAGAAAAAATAAATTAAGGACACTTTTTGTTAAAACTTTTTACTTTCATCTTAAAGACCGATTCATTAGAAGTCATTGTAAAACAGCAAAACATTGTGGATGTAGTTCTGAGAAAAACATGGGCTCAGATGTCATTTGGTTTTCTATTTTGCCAATAATTCAATACAAATCATACATTTAAGTGTGCATTTGAAGTGTTCAAATAAGTTTAAGTACTTTAACTCTTGCAGATACAGGCCAAGCACTCTTCATTGGGTTAACAAACCTGCAATGTTTCTAATTAAAGAAGGTGGTTCACAATCTAATTTTCTTTTTCTCTCTGTTAAATGAATGTTGGCCTTTTCTCATTATAATGAATGTGCTGATTGAAGTTAAAATTGAGTCCCTGAAATCCTAAACTGCAGCAAGAAAATGCCTTTCTGATGAACTACACAAAACACAAAGAATTTTTAATTTGAAGCTTAAGAAAACCAATCTTTAATCAGAATTGGGCTTCAAACACAGTCAACCATGGTCACTTTTGCTCGATTGTGAGTCAGCCTTCAGGTTTGGCAATTGCTTGCTAAGGCGGATTTCTCAGGCAATAGTTGGCATATGTAATGCTTATTTATAACCCTATACATATTAAATATTGGATGTAGCTTGTCCTGAGACATGAATGATAACACAAAATAAAAGTACCTTCTCTGTGATAAACTAGCTACTCTTGATACTGTACATTACTTATTACTAATTTCTTTCTTAAATATTGACCATTTGAACAAAAGGGGGAAATTAACATATAAAACATACAGTTATGGACTGGTGGCCGTAGACAGCGCACGACAAATGAGATGATTAGAAATACAAAGTCTTTAATTTAATAATAAAATCAGAAGAATCACAAGTACGGACAAAGGACTGAACAAAACGGAGTAGATACACATAATAATTGAGGGAACTAAACAGGAACAGCTGAAGAATCTATTTGACTGATCACAATGGAACTACAGACAAATAAGATGCACACCTTCTCAGAACGACTCATTTTTGAAACTGCATAGCAACACCCTGGCAACCATTCAAAACACGAAGCAACATAGTTGTTTTAATTGGAATTTACAGAGAGATTTTTTTTTTTTTTTAAATGGAGATGTTTGACTGATGAGGTGCTACAAAGGCTCATCTGTTTTGCTGAAAGGTCAGTAACCAGTCAAATACACACACACACTGTCATACAAAATGGGGTCAGGTGCCCAGTGTGACTCCAGGTGGCCATAGCAATCTGGACACATCTGTGTCCATCATCCCAAACAGACAGACAGGCCTCTCCATCATGTATACCTTCCCATTCATTTGTCCAGCAGTGTTTCAATCATATTTTAAACAGCGTCATGTCACCTGTGCACACACACCATCACATATATTTATAGCACATGCACTATAACGCATATATTCACACATGTGATGATGAAGACTTTGATGGCCATCTGGCAAAGGAAATGGGATGTGTTAAGGTGGACGCGTGGGGTTTGGGGGAGCGGCGGATTGTACGCACCATTAATCACATCTCCTTTACTCTCTCTTTACCTCCCTCCCTTAACCTTTGTTTTCTTCACTTCCATCCTCCCTCAACTGTCTCTCCACCTTCTCCCTTTCTTTCCTAAATAGATTTACTCTAGTGCATCATTCATCTTTTTAATTTATTCACGAAACAGGAATTCAAAGTTAAATGAGAGAGGGAGAGGGGAGAAATATAATACAATAAATGATATATCTCGTTTATTATATTCTTATCCTAATGTAGATAGATTGACAGGTATATATATATATATATATATATATATATATATATATATATATATATATGAAGAGTTCAGATGCAAAAGCCTCTAAATGCCATTTGAAATGTTCTTCTTGAATGATGATTTTTATCAAACTTGTATATTTAAGTTCAGTAATTTCACTTAAATAACAATTAATAGGTAATCATCATTGCCATTTAAGTGAAATCACTGAACTTAAATATACAAGCTTGATAAAAATGATCATTCTAGAAGAAAATTTTAAATGGCTCTTAGAGGCTTTTGCATCTGAACTCTTCATATATATAGCGAGAGAGAGAGAGAGGTGTAAAAAATATTATTTATAAAAACGTATTATTTACAGTTAAGATATTTACAATAGATAAAGAAAGGAAGAGTGATAAAGGGAAAGATAGAAAGAGAGAGAGCCGATATTGATGCAAATCTGATAAATAA